AATAGAGACAGCTGGAATCCTTAAGCAAAATAACGATGACACTAAATATGAAGAAGGACGATGCGAAAAAGGAGAAGAAACATCGTGTTGAAATATAAAAAAAGAAACTTATCGTTTTCAATGGCGCAAAAGAGAGATATATAACGAGAAGTGGTGGCAGCGACTGTCTGGAAATGGCAACGACGACAAAGAAGAGAGACGCAACTTTTTTTTTCCAGAAATGGGACTAATGCGGAAGACGACGGTACGGTTTTAATTTTAAAAGAAAGGTTGATTTTTTTGTTCAATGAGTAGACGTGACGTTCGATGTGCCAGATGTCAGAAGCATTATTCTCAAGAAACCCCAGGGCGTCGTAAGGATTGTGCACACCGTGGAGCAGAGCAGTTTTTAAGGATGGCGCTTGACTCTTCAGTTCCCCTCGGCTAATGGGGCAGGGCGCGAGGCGATCACCGTGGGCCCAGAGCCATAGACCGCCCAAATATGTAAAAGAAAAGAAGATAAGCCGCGAAAATATAAAGCTATCCATGTCTTAGGGGCAAATGTTTGACCTAATATTTGGACAAATTTGGGTCTGAGGCCTACAGTCTCCATAAGCCCAATAGAACGACAATTTGCCAACAAAAGCCCGACAACCTCCGGAATGACGAATGGCGAAGGCGTGTTATCAGTTAGTTGCCAAATGCTCCAGCTGGCAATGAGCCACGAGACGCCTAATAGGAACGACTGACAGGAATAACTAACGATTATACCAACTGGTTGGAGGAAGGTGGGCACTTGACAGCTGAAGTCACGGCGCGAGACGCCCTGAGTACCTATAAATACTCCTCTGCCACTCTGATAGAAGGTAAGTTGTATTCTCTCTCTCATTATGTGAGTTTATCAATCCTCTTTTCCTAACTTAACCTTCGAAGGAGGTATTAGGGCACCCCTAAGGACCTTTATTGCAGGATGTTGGAGCATTCCTACCAGATTCAACACCATTCTCTGGCTTCTTCCTCACAAATCACCCGGAACATTCTAGATACTAACATATATAATAATAATATAATTATAAATCGGTAAACAAAGGAAAAATTATTGGCAATAATTGGCAAGCAGGTTGGAGCGCCAAGAAATGACATATACTAGTTAGTTTGCTAGTAAATGAATGGTCCTATTAGTAGTACAAGCAAGTGACATCAACCAATGTATTCTGAGATTTCCACATGCATTTGTCCGTCGATTCTTGTCATGACTCATGAGGCCAACAAAATTTGAGGTGGTGAGATTAATCAAAGGTTGGTTGTTCCTAGGGGTGGACAACGGGACGGGACGGGATACCCGTCCCGTTTGAAACGGGTACCCAGTTCCGTTTGAACACCAAAGTTCATCCCATGTCCCAAACCCATATGGGAAACGGGTACCCATTACCCGTACGGGACGGATAACGGGTACCCATACTACCCATAAATACCCAAAGTTTGAATCACTAAAATTTGAAACGAAGAGTTGAGGGCGACGCCGAGCAAACAAAGGAGGAGTTAAGGGCTGTTGGCTACGGAGAGTTGACGGCAACATCGCTGGGCTGCTGCTGGCTTACGGCGACGCCGCTGAGTTGCTGGATACGGAGAGTTGAGGGCGACGTCGTTGGGCTTTTGCTGAGTGCTACGGCGACGCCTGCGCGGAGGGATTGCTGGATTGCTGCTCGCTACGCGGTGTGTCTGCCTGTTGAGGACGAGGAGAGCTGCTGGGGAGGAGTTGAGCTGCGGGCGACGATTGGAATTGGACGAAGGGAAAGGGATTAGTTCACTCGTCTGTTGAGTGTCGACTAGTGAAGGGATTAGGCACAAAGGGAAAGGCCCAAAAGGAGGAAGGGACTGGCTGGGCTGGGCAAGGGAAGACGGGCTTTCTGTCTTTCTTTGCCTTCTTTGTATTTTTAATGGGTATAACGGGTACCCATATTACCCAAACGGGTATTTGCGGGTAACCCGCGGGTACCCATTGTAGGATTGTACAATCCCAAGTCCCATCCGTTAATAATATTACGGGTAATATGGGTACCCGTAACCCTCAAAAAACGGGACGGGTACGAGTATACCCAAATACCCGTTTCCCGTTGCCCACCCCTAGTTGTTCCAGTCAGCCAACTTACTTGAGGTATCTATGTTTCGTTCCAGCTTCCAATTCCACTTTGGAAGTCGCGTGTTAAATAGATAATAATAGCCTCTTATTTTGGTAAATGATTTTAATCTGTTCCACTTCACTCAACTTCGTCGTACCCAACCCCAACCTCCTATTGAAATCAAACCAAACCACCATCACAATCCTCTTTCATATGATCCTTAGCTACTATTCTCCACATTTGCACCTCCAAAATTAAATTCTCTCCTCAACGTACGTTTCCTCTTTCAAGAGAATTGGATAAAGCTAGCAGTGTGGGGGAAGAATGATGATATTCTTGCCAACTTCAAACAAACCTATCCATCTCTTTAATTTTCACATGGGTTTCTTCTTATTAACCGACCAACGCAAGAATAGAATAGGCAATGCAGAAAAATCCCACATGGAATCTTGACTTTGAGTCTTTGACACAGCGGCTGCAGTTTCCAGCAAATGACTTGTAGGTGGTGCTTGTTTACTGAATTAATAAATTAATATAGCTTAGCTGGGTGGTGAATCACAACTGAGATTGGGAATATGTGACCAACTGATGCAATTTGCGAGCCGCTGATGGTAACACATAAATTATGAACTACTGATCACCAGCATCTGCATTTTTGTTAATTTACCCAATCCAAACGACATTATCTTCAATCTATATAATTCAATCTATATAATTCTCGTTCCGTAGTAACAGCCATTCACATCATTAAACTTTCGTTTTCGATCCTACTACGTACATCATGTGGTATAAGATCCAGCAAAACCTTCTTCCAACAACTCGAGTTATTGGGAGCAACTGGTTCTTGACATGGTATCAGAGCTGGTTTGGCCAAGTGGTCGTGTGTTCGAATCTCCACGACCCTCAATATTAACCGTTGTCTTTCAAGCACATGGTATAGTGGGCCTGTGCAAACTTCAAGCTCATGGGTTGGCTTTCGTTTGAGGGGGCGTGTTAGAGAGTGATATAAGATCCAGCAAAACCTTCTTCCAACAACTCGAGTTATTGGTTTCTTGACACATCATGTTGAACATAAATAACAAAAACTCTAATAAAATGGGTAATTAGCATAAAAGGTCACAAACCTATTCACTTTGTACGAAACGGTCACAAACCTTTAATTTTGCACGTTTCAGTAACATACGTTTGAGAGAATAACGAAATGGTCATTCCATCCATCTCCATCCAAAAACCGTTAGTTTCGTCCCGTCAGCACGCCATATCACCTACAATATTAATAAAAAATTTAACAACCAAACCCAATTGAACCGGACAGCTTAACCAAAAACCCTAATTCTATATCAACCCCACCCTTACACAAAACCCTTGTCCTTCCTGGTCCGCCTCCCCTTCCTCCTCCCTTATAGTGGCATCCCCCACTTCCCTCAAAACACCTACCAGCCACCTCTGGATGATCATTATGAGCTTCTGGAGCAGAAATTAGAGAAGGAAAGTTAGACGCGAGGAGAGCGAAGACTTGAGATGGTTTTGGAATAGTGGAAGCTCACCTCCAGTCAACCATAGTTTTAAGGTGGATACGCAGAAGTGGGTTTCCAGATCGGAAGGCGAAAGCGAATCATTGAAGCCAGAATAATTGATTCGAGGACGCAGAGATACCTTAGGAATTTGGCGGGTGCATCTAGATAACCTTCTTCGCCGCCGGTTTCAAGACGATGAATTCCTCGTCGTGGACCCAAGTCCGCTAGAGTCGTTGAATGGCGTCACTTTCGACCCTTGAACGTTGATTCGATGAATCATCTCCAGAATTCTCGGTGAACAGCCCGTCGAATTCGCCGATTGCGTTAAGTTATCTTTTCGAGCCACGCATTCGATTATGAGGTCTTTGGGAGCGGAGAAAACCTTGATAGTGACAAACCCTAAATTAGAACCACCGCGTCAGGTCAAAGCACAGGTTGATTACGAGATGGGAGATGGGTTTTGGTTTGTGAGAGGAGAGGAGCGGTCGGCGGTAAGGAAATTGGAAGCGGCGGTGAAATACTCTGTTGTCGAGGGAAGCATTAGAGGCGGAGAGGGAGAGGAACCGTGCTTTCTGGGGACTATGGGTGGGTACTCTGTCGGGTGGGTATAGAGGTAGTGAACCGGTTAGGATTGTGTGGATTAATTAAGATGATTAAATGTTTTTTATTAATATTTTTATGACGTGTCATGCTGACTAGGCAAAAATAACGGATTATTGGACGGAAGTGGATGGATTGACCTTTTTGTTATTCGCTCAAACTTGTTTTACTGAAACGTACAAAATTAAAGATTTGTGACCATTTTGTACAAAGTGAATAGGTTTGTGACCATTTATGATAACTACCCCTAATAAAATACATGAATCGAATCAACAGGTACCCTCAGTCAAACTTGTGAATGGTGATTGATCACTGATATGTGTTTCAAAGTGGACAAACATAACGAGTCGTAATACCATTAAAATTAGAATATTTGATCTGTTGATAAATGATGAGTAGAGGAAAAAAGGTAAAAACAGGATGCATGCATGGAGGGCAGGTGGTGGGACACACACCCGTATGTGGAAGGTTAGGTTGGGAGATGGGAGTAATAAAAGCCATTTATAAAACCCACCGTCAATACAGATATTATAACTGCTTGCTTTCGTTTCGTGTTGGCCCATTATTCCGTCTCCACTACACCTCTCCTTCGCCACTGCTCTGCCTCTGCCTCTGCATCCCATGGTAAAAGCCTAAAAGAAAGAAAAACACAACAGCATTGCATCAATCATTTTTCATTTTACGAGTACGTATAAAAAAAGAGAAGAAGAAATATGCAGCATTAATTATTCAGAATTTATTGCTTGCTGTGCCGTACCGTTGGCCCAACCCCAACCACTTTATTTACTCTCTTCACTCTTCTTCTTCTTCTTCTTCTCCGTTCTTCCCCTTTCCGGAGTAGATACTTAGAATTCAACACCAAATTCTGAGAGCAAACAGGCGCCCAAATCCATACACACAAGTCTTGTGCCTGCCTTTGGGGAAAAATTAGTAACAGGCATTGTTATTAGTGGATGGCGATGGAGTACTTGGTGAAAGTTGGAGAAGCAGAGGATAGCAGCAGCGGCAGGGGAGAAGGAAAGCCAAGTGCAGGGCCTGTTTACAGGAGCATTTACGCCAAAGATGGCCTCTTGGAACTTCCTTCCCACCTCCATTCCCCCTGGCAATTCTTCAGGTAAAATTGCAGTTGAATTAAGCTTCCTTTCTTTTGTTCTCATAGGTGAAACGGCATTTGAGTTGCAGGGCTGGCAAATGGGCAATGGCTTTTGCTTGAACAAAATTTTCTACAGATAGACAAGAGCAAAACAGTTTTTGAAAATTGGCTCATGCAGGTCTCGAACCTGCGACCTTTGCGTTATTAGCACCACGCTCTAACCAACTGAGCTAATGGGCCTTATTGGAACAACTGACGGCTAATATTTATTTAATTCTTGTTCTCACATGGGTTAAAGTCTGCTTCCATTTGATCATGCAGTGATTCAGCGGCCAAGTACGCCAACAATCCCATGCTGGGTCGCCGGAAAATCATAGATTCCAAGGTATCCTTCTACTTTTTTGACTGGCTAATCATGTTCTACTACATACAACGAGATCATTAAGCAACCAGAAATTAATGGATTAGAAGAACTGCTGCTCATCATAACCCATGGTGTCAATTTGACTGGCTCGCAGGCTGGATCATATGCGTGGCTCACTTACAACCAAGTTTATGATTCAGCTTTGAGAATTGGTTCTGCAATGAGAAGCCTTGGTGTCAACCCTGTAAGCATAAAACTCCTCTCCCACCATATCAACTAGCTACCACCATCCCATTTAATTTCCATACATCTTTCAACAGTTTGATTTGATGGGCATTCCTACTGTAAGAAATAACGTGAAAAGTGATCTACCTTGGTATAATTTGTTTCGTGTTGACAGGGTGATCGTTGTGGTATCTATGGTTCCAACTCCCCTCAATGGATAACTGCAATGGAGGTTTGGCCCCAAACTTTTCCAGATTGTCTGTTCTCTCATTCATTACAAGCTCTCATTGCTGACCACAGATTGTACCCTTTTGCCAGGCTTGTAACAGCCAGGCTGTGACTTATGTTCCACTCTATGACACCCTTGGTACAAAAAATTGTTGTCTTTACAATTGATTCAGTTTTGAAATTCAGCTCCTTTGGTAACGGAATTTGTAATGCTGGCCCAAAACTTGCAGGTGCCAATGCTGTGGAGTTCATCATTAACCATGCTGAAGTCTCCATCGCCTTTGTTCAAGAGAACAAACTCCCTGCTGTAAATCTCTTCCTGCCTGCTGTTGCCCTTTTTATATCTGCTTGAGCCCTTACTAAAGCTATCTGCCCTTTCTTTCTTTTCAGGTTCTGTCCTGCCTCTCAAACTGTTGTTCAAACCTGAGAAGTATGCTACAAAAACACTTCACCAAATCATAATTTACCCTTCTGAAAACTCAGGGTGCTTTTTCGAAGATGAATGATTAACCGTACTTGTTCGTCACTTCTTATGTAGCAATCATCAGCTTTGGGGACATTTCTGCCCTGCAGAAGAAGGAAGCCGAGGAGCTAGGGGTGTCTTGTTACTCGTGGGAAGAGTTCTCTCAGCTGGTGAGTAAAAGAAAAATCATGAGCTGTTTCTCCATCATTTCTTCCTACTCGAGATAATAGCAGCTTTCTAACTTGAATAAGTGTGTGATCAGGGAAGTTTGGATTCCGAGCTACCTCCGAAACAGAAGACTGACATCTGCACCATAATGTACACAAGCGGTACTACTGGAGAACCTAAAGGAGTTATCATCACAAATGGAGCTCTCATGGCTGAAGTTCTGTCTGTTGACCATTTGCTCTCCCAGACTGACAGAGTGGTAAAACTTGTTAGTTCCCTGTACTCAAAAACTAACCCATTATATCATTGAGGAAATGAAGAGAAACCATTTTTCTTATTATTATTTCAGCTTGATGAAGAAGATACATACTTCTCTTTCTTACCTTTGGCTCACATCTATGACCAAGTGATCGCGAACTACTGCATCCACAAAGGTGCCTCCATTGGATTCTGGCAAGGGGTAAAGAAAGACTGCAGACTCTATTAGATAATTCTCACCTTCACTCACTGAGTTTTTGTTGCTTTCTGTTGTTTCAATCGGATTTTCGGGTTTTGCTTCATAGGATGTCAGATTCTTGATGGAGGATCTTCAGGAGTTGAAGCCAACCATGCTTTGTGGGGTTCCTAGAGTGTACGACCGCATTTACAGCGGTAAGTAGCAACTCTCTTATTCTTTCTACCTCTTCTTTCTGGTTCTTACTGTGGAAAATTACTATCTTCCAGGTACAATGAGCAGGGTCTCATCATCAGGGGTATTACGGAAGAAGCTCTTCGATTTTGCTTATTCCTAGTAAGTTAACAATCACCTCAGTCGATGCCAATTCATGTTGCTATTACCTTTCTTGTTCCACAAGTAACAATGTGGATAACCATCTTACAGCAAGCTGGGAAACCTTGAGAAGGGAATTGCACAAGCCAAAGCTGCACCATTCTTTGACAAGCTCGTCTTTGAAAAGGTTTGTTCTTTCGTTCGAACCTGCAACTAATGCACTTTCCCATGTCCATTTCTGCCATTCAATCTAAGGTGTTAGGGAATTGCAAACAGACTAAGCTAGCATTTGGAGGCCGAGTCCGGATTCTCTTGTCTGGAGCTGCACCTTTGCCTCGCCATGTCGAGGACTTCCTAAGGGTCATATCCTGCTCTACATTATCACAAGGCTACGGTAACTGAACCATAAACCAATCATTAATTTCCCAATTCTTTCATCATTCTCCAATTTTTTTCATATTCACTAAACTAAACCCCTGTTGTTGACAGGACTTACTGAAAGCTGCGGCGGATGCTTCACTTCGATCGGTGACATATACCCTATGGTGGGAACCGTTGGTGTTCCTATGACAACCATCGAGGCCCGGCTCGAATCAGTCCCTGAGATGGGCTACGATGCCCTCGCCAGTGTGCCACGGGGCGAGATCTGCCTCAGAGGTAACAGCTTGTTCTCTGGATATCACAAGCGCGAAGATCTCACGAGAGAAGTCCTCGTGGACGGCTGGTTCCACACGGGTGACATTGGAGAGTTGCAGCCCAATGGAGCCATGAAGATCATCGACCGGAAGAAGAACATCTTCAAGCTGTCACAGGGCGAGTATGTCGCCGTGGAGAATCTAGAGAACACTTACTCTCGATGCCCTCTCGTTGCTTCGATTTGGGTGTACGGCAACAGTTTCGAGTCGTTTCTAGTTGCAGTTGTCGTGCCAGACAAGCAAGCAATCGAGGAGTGGGCGAAGCAGCACAATGTTACGGGCGATTATCAAGCCTTGTGCGAGAATCAGAAGGCCAGGAACTATGTCTTGGATGAGCTGAACAGCACTGGAAAGAAACACCAGGTATATCTCTCTGTTCTTTCTCCCTGCTCTAGCTTCTCTCTGCTTTTTCCCCCATTCTTTTTCTTTGGCTACATTCACTAAGAAGGAAATGGCATTCTTGCAGCTGAAAGGGTTTGAGATGTTGAAAGGAGTTCACCTGGAGCCAGTTCCATTTGGGATAGAGAGAGATCTGGTCACTCCAACGTTTAAGCTCAAGAGGCCTCAGCTGCTGAAATACTACAAGGAACGCGTTGATCAACTTTACAGTGAAGCAAAGGAGTCCAAGGCTTGAGTTGAAACTGAACATGTCTGATTGAACTTCCTACTATGGTGTAAAGGCTCCTAGGCATTGGTCACCGCGAGAGCTATCTCATTGTTCAATGTTTATATACACATAAAGAATGACTGGAAAATTATGAACAAACTCAATAGTCATTCTGATCTTCCAACATTTAATTGAATACATATGAATGGATATCACTACATATTGCTTGCCTGCTGTTAATTTGAGATTGCATGATTGTATCACAAATGAGGATTCTCGGAAGAATATAGCATCAAATTCACAGAATAGCACTGCTTGCTTCTCTTTTACAACAACAAATGAATCTGCAGCACTCTGCTGGACTAGGCTTACAAGCAAAGAAGAAAGCCACGTCTGCTCAATAAAATTAAAAGCAATGCATGCGTTTCAATCTCAATTCAATGGCGGTTTTTCACATAGTAAGAGTAAGTGGAAAGGTGGGTTTCATCATGATCGAATCGTGCTACGTCAACAATCAAAGTGATGAATAACTAGTCTACTTCTGGATTAAGCTACAAGAGTCCGGATCTGGTGACTAAGGGGGGTGCTTAGTCACTTGGCTAAGCCCCCCTCAGCCATTGGATCCTTATTAATTGATCTAATGGTGGAAATAAGGGAAGGGATGGTTAAATAATAAGAGGGGCAATTTTGGGATTATGAAAATTTTATTTAATTATTTTTTTTCTCCAGCCAATCTTCTTCTAACGCACACCCAATTCAATTCATCCCCCCTTTTCCCCAATCTCCTCCGCCTTCCACTTCTCCGATTCCCCTCCTCCGCCGCCGCCGCCAAAATGGACGAATCTCCGATGAACAACCTCCCACAGGAGACGCTCCACCAGATCTTCTCCTCCCTCACCCTCCGCGAAATCGTCGCCTGCCGATCCGTCTGCAGATCCTTCCGCCAAACCCTCACTTCCCCTTCCTTCATCTCCCTCCTCCTCTCCTCCAAACCTCCCCTCAGCGACGACGGAGAACGCCGGCGATGATGGAAGAGAGGGCGGCGACGACGACAATGGAGATCTCGACGGTGCCGGCGACGACGAAGAGAGGGAAAGGAGAACGAACGTGACAGAGGCGACAGCTTCGAAGAGAGAGAAAGCGGATCTCGTCGTCGTCGGGAAACCAGAGGAGAGAGAGAGACGATGGTGGATGATACAGAGGCGGCGGAGAGAGAGAGAGTGTCGGCGACAATGGAGGAGAGAGAGGCAGCGCGACGATGGAGAGAGAGAGAGGTGGCGACGACAGTACAGAGAGTCGGCGGCGGCGGCGGCGGCGGTGGAGAGACATCGTATGCGTCGTCTGAAGGAAGAACAGTGATTTGTATAGTTTGTATGTTTTGTAACATTAGTTTGTATTGTTAGTATTTTTGTACAAAATGTCAGTATGGTTTGTATGTTTTTCTTTGACAGTTTGTACTCTTAGTATGTTTTTCTTTGACAGTTTGTACTCTTAGTATGTTTTTCTTTGACAGTTTGTACTCTTAGTATGTTTTTCTTTGACAGTTTGTATTCTTAGTATGTTTCGCTTTGTATTGTAAGTACTAATAATTTGTATACTTTATATGTATTGATTTGTGATGCAAAAAACATTACAAACATGGTTGACAAAAATGACAAACATGTGGACAAAAATAACAAACATTACAAACAATACAAAAGAAACCAACAAACATTACAAACATTACAAAAGGGTAAATGACACATTTGGTCACTGAGATTATTAAATTGTGTCATGTTTAGTCACTAGAAAAAATTAATATCAATTTTGGTCACTCGAATTACCGAAACTGGTCAAATTTAGTCACTCTCCCGTCAGTTTCCGTCCAAATCCATTAATGTAGTTGGACGAAAACTTTTGGGAGAGTGACTAAATGTGACATGTTTCAGTAATCCGAGTGACTAAATGTGACATTTTTCAATAATTCGAGTGACCGGAGTTGGACAGAGGCTACAGAAGAGTGACCAAATGTGACCTGTTTCAGTAATTCGAGTGACCAAAATTGATATTAAATTTTTCTAGTGACTAAATATGACACGATTTCGTAATCTCGGTGACCAAATGTGTCATTTACCCCATTACAAAATAACAAACATTACAAACATTGCAAACAAACATTACAAACATTACAAACAAACATTACAAACAGTACAAAGCATACTACACGTACATAATATCACTACTAACAATACAGATTGGTAAACTTGTATTACAAACAAATGAATACAAAGTATACAAATCATAACATAAAAGTATACAAACTTGAATAACAAAAGTTACAAATACAAATCAATGAATAGAAAGTGTATAAATCATAACATAAAGTATACAAACTAGACAAACAAACATTACAATGTATACAAAATAGTAATATAAACATTACAAACATCACGAACTCAATACTGTTGCCGGAAAATCATCCACCACCGTCTCTGGTCGCCGGAAAACTGCTCCGCCGTCGCCGGAAAAGTTCTCTCTCTCTCTCTCTCTCTCTCTCTCTCTCTCTCTCTCTCTCTCTCTCTCTCTCTCTCTCTCTCTCTCTCTCTCTCTCTCTCTCTCTCTCTCTCTCTCTCTCTCTCTCTCTCTCCGTAGCTGTTGGAAGCCATTGCTGGGGACACAAAATCCCTCCTCTCTCTCTCTGGCCGTGGCTGTTAAGGCCACAAAATAGCTATTTGGGGACAAAAAATCCCACCGCCAGAAAAAGAAACGGCGGCGCGGGTTGGGGCCAGTGGAGAACGTCGCCGGAAACGGAGGGGTGAGAATGGGTGGAGTCCGGATCTGGGTGAGAGTTTTTAAAATTATTTAATAATTAAAAGTAAATATAAACATGCAATTACTACATTGCCCTTTATTAAATTGGATTAATAGGAGCCCTTGGATTTTAATGAGCTTGTATGGCTAAGATTCACTTAGTCATGTGACTAAGGGGACCCCCCTAGTCACCTGATCCCAGCCCAAGCTACAAAGAAGAACTATTAATTTTCGGTTTATGCTTCGCATAATAACGGTCGAATGAAATTTTAAGAGTTTATATAACTATCTAACTCTAATCGATTAATGGAAACTACGCGATAAATATGGCAATTTCTTTTAGGCATACAGGCATCACAAAGCCCAGGCAGGATAAAAGAAGAGGAGGATTATCCCGACGGTGTTGGAAATACCATTGGCCTTGGTGAATGAGTTTCTGAACCCACCAGATGCTCTAATGTGTTCTTGCAGCAGGTAGCAAGCAATGAGCATACATATCGCCACTCCAATCCAGTTGTCCCTCAGTGTTGAAGCGAATAAACTAGGCGCCACCACTATTAGCAGAACCAGAGAACCCGGCATGTCAAGCCAATCTAGCAAACACAAATTCACAATTACCAACCAAACAATTAATTTTTTCCACTCCACTCCACTACTGCGCGCTAAAAATGTAATCTTTGATTCCTGAAACAGCGGCGGCCATCCTTACCTGGGAATCGGCTGGGGAAGAGAAGGCGGAGTAGAAGTGTCATGATTGCAACCCATTTCCCAAACTCGCCTCTGCGTGAATTTGGGGATTTGACGGAATCAAGACACAGTTCAACATGCAATCAAAAGCTTAGAGAGATAGAGGGAGGGAGATTTGAAATTTTACCGTATGAAGCTGAAGAGGAAGGAAGGGAGGGTGAAGAAGATGTAAGGAATGAGTAGCGCAGTGAGAATGTTTGTCTTCCAATTCGTTCGATCCAATACCAGCAGATAGCTGCATCAAATCAATCAATTCAATTCATAATCAGATTTCAGAAGTGGAAAAAAGTAAAACAGAGGAAACTAAATTTATTGAAGGGAAATTGGGGGCGTGGCGAGGCGTACATGGCAGCAATAGCAGAGAGACACTCGAGAAAAGAGGTTCCGAAACCGGCGACGATGCCAACATGAATGGCGAGCTTCTTTGCCGCCGCAGTCAGCTCTTTGAAATCGGAAGCGATTAATTCGCTGCCGAAGCTGCTGCTTCCTCCGTCGATCTTCATCGCTAAGTAGCTCTTCTTCCACATAGCTATTCCTCAACTCAACCTTCTTCTTCTTCTTCTTCTTCTTCTTCGTGGGGGAGGAGGATTCGAGAAATTAGTACGCAGACGGACTGCAAACGCGAGTCGTTGATCCCTCGTGTTCTTTTGATGGATTAGCAGTTCAAATTATTATGTTCCTTAAGCAATTGTTAATAACTACGGCTGGAAGGATCGTTGACTGAAATCTACTTTATTAGTGGCTGACACCCACACCTACGAATTCCGAAAAAGTTAATATGCTCACAGTGGGTTTTGTGAGTAAATACTCACTGACCCACAGATCCGCCCAGCCGAGAGGAGGGAGACAGGCTCGCTTAAATTAGCTGTGGTGAGTTTTTTGGCCCAAGCTGAGTCGACATATGGAGCCGACCGGCTGGCTTAAGAGAGGGGCGAAATTTTGGACGGGAAGTTGGAGAAAGAAGAACGAAATTGGTCTAGTGGCTTGCAGCCTAGTAAGGGTTGCCCGCCGAGAGCCCATGGGCCGAAGTTCCAAACTCATCTTTCTTATATTTTCTATGACATCGACAGTGAGGGAGAGTTCGACATGGCCTGGAGCACAATGGTTGCTGATTGTTTCCCTAATAGCGAAATTGCGGACGGTCGCCCATGGTTGGAATATTTGAAGAAATTTCATCGTCGATGGTGTTCCTTATGGTTGAGAGATCAATTCACAACCGGGATGTTGACTACGCAAGCCAGCGAGTCGTGCAATGCACAAGTGCGAATTTTCTTGAAATCGAAGCATGATTTGGACTTGTTTTTCGGTTAAATTACACATTTCGTCACTCGAATTACAGAAATATTTCACGTTTGCCACTCAAATTACTTTTCTTTCATATTAACCACTAACTTTACGATTTGTTTCACCGTTAGTCATCCTTCGTCAGTCTCCGTTAACGCCGTCAGATTTTTGATGATGTGGCAAACGAAAGTGCTGACTGGGCTGACACAGAGGATGAAAAAGACGACACTATTCCACTTCAGCACCCTAGTGTCGTCTTTTTCATCCTCTATGTCAGCCCAGTCAGCACTTTCGTTTGCCACGTCATAAAAAATCTGACGGCGTTAACGAAGACTGACGGAGGGTGACTAACGATGAAACAAATCGTAAAGTTAGTGGTTAATATGAAAGAAAAGTAATTTGGGTGGCAAACGTGAAAGATTTATGTAATTCGAGTGACCAAATGTGTAATTTAGCCCTTGTTTTCATTCACTTTAGCAGGTACGCAAAATATTTCTTTGCCTTTCTTTGATATTAGTCTACTTAAGTTTTGGATATTTGTCAGCGTTGTCCGGATATTTATATGCTATTGTTAAATATTACTTTGCTTAGTTGGGATATTAGTATTGGTTTGAGTGGATATTAGTCTGGGCACTAAACTCTTTTTCGTGCTTTGTAAATGTAGCTTGTTGGCTGAAAAAAGACGCAATGAGACTGAGTCAGACTACAATGGGAAACAATCGGTTCCTTATATTATGTTGGAGGATAGCCCGATCCTACAACATGCGGCAAAGGTCTTTACTCCTAACATCTTCAATCGGATACAAAAGCAGTATTTGAAAACTGAACCCTATCTAATGGAGACGCTCTCAGATACTAGGGATCAATGCAGTCAAAAGCGTGAATCTACCTAGAAGCGGTTGGGTGACCTAAAAGCGTAAAACCGTAAGCTTTTAAGTTTAAAACGTAGATTTTGACTACATTTGTAAGGGAAAATCATGATTCTACGTAGAAGCATTTTGGTGACCGAAAAAGATAAAAGCGTAAGCTTTTCAGTTTTAAAGCGCGATTTTGACTGCATTGCTAGGGATGAAGGCATGATTGGCTACATCACATATATGATAGAGTATGATGAGCGTAGTGATGAGCGCGTCGTTCTCGTTGATATTTCTACGAGGACATTGGTATGCGAATGCAGGATGTTCAGAACTTTCGGAGTGTTATGCCGCCACATGATTAAAGTGATGCGGCGTCTTGGAGATTTTGGTGAAGCCAGTATGAGAAGTATTCCAGATCATTACATACTCAAGCGATGGACGTTGGAGGCGAGAAAGAAAGTGGTTGTTGATGTCGATGGTTTTGTTGGTCCTTCAGCTGACAGTGAGAATGATGCGGGAAAAGTATAGCAATGCGGTACCGAGAAACCAGTGCATTAATGTTGAATCAGCTAGCAACGAAACTATCGATGCCCGATGAGAAAGACTACAATAAGTGGATGGGAGTACTCAAGAAACTGTGCAATGAGGCAAACAAGGCATTGTCAAAGACTATAACTAGCAAGGACAGTAAGTGTATTCACTAATATTATTTGTAAATTGTTGGAGTTTAATATCATTGCATTTACTAAATTCTGTAACATTGTATGACGGTCTATACCGATAACTGAGCTGACTTTGAAGGAGAAGAGTAATCCAAGGAGTCACAGTAAGGAACGTTACCAGTCTAAGAATGAAAAGGAACGACGTCGAAAGAAACGTGTCTATAGGAAGAGAATGAAATAAGATGAAGCGGTCACGCCGGACAACAATACTCAACTGGATGACCATCTTAGTGATTTGGATGATACTATTGCTCAATGGTAATGAATATAATGTAGGGTGGGTCGAGTGTGATCTATTGTGATATGATATTGACATGTGATTCCAGGATACATTTTTTTCATGCAGTGGATATTAATCCACCTGTAACAGATACCTTTCTGGGCAATCTGGATATTTATTAGCAGTGTTCAAGGATATTAGTCTAGCCTTCCTGGATATCAGTATTATCAAAAGCAGGTTCAATAGCACCAATGATTACTTCTTTCACTAGCCACATGTGCAGGAACTTAGGCTTGGATAATATTTAGGGATGAATGTTATTTAGGGTTGGATAATATTTAGAGAGGTATGATGTTTTGCAGCAGGATAAATATCTGTCTTTTTGTATACTAATATCCATAAAGAACAGACAAATATTCTTACAGCCCAGACAAATACCTTCTTTATTTAAACAAATATCAGCAAATCACAGACAGATATGCGAAAAACCCAGACAGATATCCGAAAGACCCAGACTAATATCAATAGAGCCCAGGCTAATGTCCTTAAGGCCCAGACCGATACCCTTCATTTCTTCACGGTCTCCTCGGTGTTGTCTTCATCATCCGACTCTGAAAAAGCGGGGAACGTTACCTCGTCCCAATCCATGTGAAAACCACACCGGTTATCCATACTCGTACATCCAACATCGGAAATACCTCTTCGGTGGGTTGACTCAAGTCGTTTAGCGGCTCTCCAACCATGGTAACAGAGTATAACACCATCATATTCGAACTCATCCACCAATCCCCGGCGTTATGGTTTAGGAGTCTCTCCAGACATGGATTTTGCTTTGGAAGAGAAGTGAAGAAGAAACTGAGAGAGGAGGATAGCCGATTTGGGTTTGTGTATGATTTGTCTTAAATAGACAAATGCAAAAAAGGTCACATGAGTACAGTAACAAAAAAATCACATGAGTACAGTAACAAAAGAGGTCGCATGTGAATAGTGAAAGAAGTAATCATTGATACTATTGTACTTGCTGCTGCTAATACTGATATCTAGGAAGCCCAGACTAAAAGCTGTACATATTATAGTACATATCAAGTTTGCCCAGACAAGTATCATTAACAAGTGGATTAATATCCAATGCACCACAAAAACGTATCCTGGAATCACTTGTCAATATCTACCAAAATATCCTCCATCCTAATACAAACCATCATCCATTCCTAAATATGAACCAACCCTAAGTTAAGTTTTACAAACTATCCAGCACACCTAAACAAATCTAAAATCAATTTCTCTTCTTTTTCCCTTTCTCTTTCTCTTTCTCTTTCTGCATACTCCAATCTTTTTCTCCTTGAATTATTGCATCCTTGTAGCCGTTATAGTTCCATAACAGGAGGTTAGCTGCAATCTGTGTTCGTTGTTCCTCCACATGTTGCTGCTTGTGCCAACTATTTTTATATTCCACCGGAAGGTGACCCACCCATAGCTCCATGTAAAGGCATGTAAATACCGCAATCATCATTGCCAAATTACCGAGGAATGTCTGTAACATCCCTGCCCTCGTACTAGTATTACGTTATAATTACGTGGTTGTGATTGGGTTACAAAAATTAGTCTTTTGAACCAAAAAGAAAGTGAATAGTGGAAGTGCTAGACTTAATTGCAAGTGAAGGAAAGTTTAGTGCCAAATAGACAATTTGGAGGGATGGAGAATTCTAGATAAGGGAGATAAAAATCTGTCCATCCTCTTATCTCTCATTTCCTTCTCATCCCTTCCCCTCACTCTCTCCCACGTCTCTCTCTTGCTCTCTTCCTTTCACCTGGTTTCACCACCTCAAAAACCACCACCCCCTTTCAGAAACAAAGAGTGAAAGCTAGAAAGAAAAGCATATCAAGGAGAGGAAGAGGAAGAAGAAGGAGGCAAAGGGGGTGCTGCCAATTTCCGTCCAGCAGCGAGACAGCCTGTGAGAAGGACGATTCCGGACAATCAAACCGTTGGATCGTCCTGAGATTTGTAGGTTAGGTTTGCATACTTCTTTGGCTACGACTTGACCGTTGGGATCATCGATATGATCTCTGGTTCATCGATGAAAGTCGCTGGACAGAAGGGGTGCGATACTGTTTTTCTGTAGCAGGACAGCAGATTAGAGGTAAGATCCTGTGCGAATCCGTCGTTGGATCGTTCTAGAAATTTGGTATGAGGTTAAGTATAGGTGGTTCTTCGAATTGACCGTTCATAATGTAGTGTTGATGTCGGAGTGGTCAGGAACAATTGTTAGAAGAAGGAGAGTTGGTTGTAAAGTGAAAGAAAGTTGTTGACAGTTTTGAAATGTCAAGTTAAAATGATTTCTGGGATCAAAAGGCTGATCCAAATGGTCTGAAATTTGGATATGTTGTATCCCTATGAATCTAGTTTCAGTAGCAACGAGAATCAACGGATTTGGTTAAGTATCAAGGGAGAAATGATCAAAATGAAGAAGCATGGTAAAGTGTACAATCGTATGACTTCCCTTGTGGTCTTATTGACATGCATGAATATAACCATGATTATGATGATTGTATACGTGTCTTGGTGCTTGAATAACCTGGAAATCTTGTACATAAAGGTAAGGATCAAGCCGGGGGCTCATCCAAAGGCAAGAGCATAGCCGAGTGAAGACAAAGCTGTGAGTAGATTCTAATCTTAGATCTACTTCAACATAATCACAGTATCCGGGTCATGAAGTGGCCCGAATACATATCGGGGTCATGAAGAGGCTCCGGTATAATATGGGAATTTATGGGAAATGATATTGCTATGTGATCTGGCTTATTTGTGTTTATTCATTATCTGCATTTGGTATGAAGTTGGAAATGCATGAATTGTGAATGAGATATGGAAAGACATTCTGTTGATTTATTGTGCGGATTATGCGCAAGTATTCGAACTTGCGAACCCGTCTTGTCTGTTTAGATTTGGAGTAAGCCATTAGGCTTACTAATCCTGTTCTGCTTGAATAACTCGGAGTAAGCTCCTCAGCTTACATTCCATTCTGTTGTGACTGAGGGTACAAAAGCACTACGAATGCTTTTGAGCCTATAGTGTCTAAGTGCACTATTAATGAAAAGAGGTGAATACTTAAGAATAAGTAAAAAGGTTTTATGATACCTCGGTACAGTAGTGTGTCCTGTTTGTATCGATGTGGGTAAACCCCACGATACTCCTGTTTGAGCGCTCGTGCTTCGCACCGTGCCGATTGGGTGACGACCCACGGTACTCCTGTTCTGTTCAGTTAGCCGGGCTGGGGTAATCCCGTGGCGACTCCTGTTTTTGTATCGGTCCGGGTTGTGTCCCGCGATATTCCTGTTGGTGCGAGCACTCCTGTTTTGTGCCTTGGGCACTCCTGTTTCGTGCCTTGTGCACTCCTGTTCGTACCGGATGGGGTTTTGTCCCGCGGTACTCCAGTTAACTGATGGCTGTACATGGTTATCCTGCAGCCTTCCACTACTGTACAACCCGAGGAGTATATCATTTAGCAAATTTGAAAGTGAAATTGTATATGCAAAATGCCTCTATCTATCACACGTTGTATGTGTTTGACTGTGATGAGTTGTGAATATGGGAACTTGATTGATTCAGTAAAATGAAAAGTGTGATAAAACAATTTAAGTCCTGTTATGTGCTAGGGTGTTTCTGCCCAATACTGTTTTTGTATTGATGTCGACCCGAGCTTAGAATTTATTCACTGAGCGACGACTCATCCTTCGTCACCATGTTTCCTCAAATCAAGATCAGAAGTAAGGTCTGTACTGTAGATATCGGGACTCAACCGTGAAGGGAAGCCATGAGGTGGGCGGAGGACTCCGAACTCCTTAAATGTTTTATGTTGTGTGGATTTTGTAATAAAGCGGACTTCCCCGGTTTCTGTTTTGACTCTGAAGGAAATGTATATTATGGTTTGAAGTTTAAAAAAAATATATATATGTAAAGCTCGGGCCCGAGAATGTTTAAACTCGATGTATTTTACTGTTTCGTTTTGTAATATAAAGTAAGGGTTTTACATTTTTGGTATCAGAGCTGGGATAGGATCCCGTGGATACCAAACGTTTTAAACAAGATTTTACTGGGAAAACTTAAATGATTTCACGGGGAAGTGACTAATTATTGATTTTGACTTTGTATTTTGTTTTTGTGGAGTTCAGTCAAGGAGCAGATCCGCAACCTCACGGGAACCCTAATGCTGGAGGTTCTAATTTTAATGGGAATAATGCTGAGTCCCGCAATAGAGTCAATCCTTATGTCAAGGATTTTGAAAGGCTGAGGAGTATGGGGGCTGAGTTCTTTAAAGGGGCTATTGACCCTAAAGATGCTCTGGACTGGATCAAGGAGATGGAACGAATCTTTAACCCCCTTGAGTGTCCTGATGAAGCAAGAGTGGAGTATATGTACTACCTGCTCAGGTCTGATGCTTATGACTGGTGGTTGACCGTACCCGGGGCTCAGGATCGTACAATTCGGTATACTTGGGCGGAATTTCTTGATAAATTCCGTAAGCAATATGTGCCTGATCTGTATGTGGATAGGAAGAAGAAAGAGTTTCTGGACCTGAAACAACAAAGGTGGCAGACTGCTAAAGAGTATGATGCCATTTTCCATCGTTTGATGACCTTCGCGATGGAGTTGGTACCTACTGAACGTGCTAGATGCAACCGCTATGAGCAAGGCCTAAATGCCCAGATCAAGATGATAGTAGCAAAATCAGAAACGACTGATCTTGCCACCTTGAGAGAGGCTGCCATGAGAGCAGAGGATTAGGTGAATGAATTGGGAGCACAGATGGATGAAGGAAGGAAGAGAAAGTGGAAGAACGTGGGTTCCTCGAGTGCTGGGAACTCATTCGGGGGTAGACCTAATCAGAGTCCGAAGGTTTCGCGTTCAGTATCCAGTTACCCTGGACAGGAGCGGAGAAGTGCAGGCCCAGCTCCTATTTGCCCACATTGTGGGAATCAGCATATGGGTGTTTGTAGGAGGGTAACTGGTGGGTGTTTCCGATGTGGAGACACCAGCCACTTTCTCCGCGATTGTCCCCACATGTCAGAGTCCAGGCCTGCTGGATCCCAGACCACAATTCAAGGGTCCAGAAGGACTGGAGGTTCAGTGAGAGGATCAGGAAGAGGTGGTAATAATCGTGGCAAAAGTCAGGGTGGACAGAGCAGTCGGGGTGAAGTGCAGCCACGAGCCTTTGCTATGACTAGGAGGGAGGCTGACATCTCTCCAGAGGTCGTTACTGGTACGGTTCTTATCTACGATCTTGCCGCTTATGCGTTGATTGATCCTGGTGCCACTCATTCATTCATATCTTCTGCATTCTCACGTGGGTTGCCTGTGCACTCTGAAATGTTGAACAAGAATGTAATAGTTCAAACCCCAGTAGGAGATACCGTAGTGATTGAATATGCCTATCCTGATGCCCCAATAAGTCTAGCTGGAACTATTCTGCCAGCTAACTTATTGAGGTTAATGCTGACTGAATTTGATATAATTCTAGGAATGGATTGGTTAAGCCAACATAGAGCCGTAATGAACTGTTATACTAAGGAAGTAATTTTCGAAAGACCAGATGGTCAGAATGTGATTTTTCGAGGGACTAGACAGGTGGTGCCTAGTTGCCTAGTCTCTGCCACCAAGGTGGTGAGTTTGATGAAGGAAGGCTGTGAAGTGTATCTGGCTTATGTGACTGAGGGCAAACCGGAATTGAAACCTGAAAATGTTCCGGTTGTGAAGGAGTTCCTGGATGTGTTCCCTTCGGAACTGCCAGGATTACCTCCGGAAAGGGAAATAGACTTCACTATTGAACTGATACCGGGCACTGCTCCGATCTATGTATCTCCGTACCGGATGTCTCCGTTTGAACTTAAAGAACTGAAGGAGCAACTTCAAGAGTTGCTAGATAAGGGGTTCATTAGACCTAGTGTCTCCCCTTGGGGCGCTCCGGTATTATTTGTGAAGAAGAAGGATGGAACTTTTCGTCTGTGTATTGACTACCGGAAGCTCAACAAGTTAACGGTTAAGAATAAATATCCGTTACCTCGGATTGATGATTTATTTGACCAACTACAAGGATCGAGGGTCTTTTCGAAGATTGAACTAAGATCAGGTTATCATCAATTAAGGGTAGCGGATGAGTCCATACCGAAGACAGCTTTTCGTACTAGGTATGGGCATTACGAATTTCTTGTTATGCCTTTCGGGTTAACAAATGCTCCAGCTGTGTTCATGGCACTGATGAACCGAGTGTTTCAGGAATATCTAGATAAGTTTGTGATCGTCTTTATTGATGATATTCTAGTGTATTCTAGAAGTGAAGAAGAGCACATGGAGCATTTGAGAATCGTACTGCAGATTCTGAGGGAAAAGCAGTTGTATGCTAAGTTCAGCAAATGTGAATTTTGGATGGATCAAGTAGTATTTTTGGGCCATGTGGTGTTTGAGAGAGGTATAGAGGTGGATCCAAGGAAAGTAGAAGCAGTGATACAATGGGAACCACCGAAAAATATACCTGAACTAAGAAGTTTCCTTGGCATGGTCGGATACTACAGAAGGTTCATTGAGGGGTTTCTCTCTGATTGCTGCACCATTGACAAAGTTACTGAGGAAAGAGCAATCTTTTATATGGGATAATAAATGTCAATCCAGTTTCGAAGAGTTGAAGCGGAAGTTAACCACTGCACCGGTTCTTGCCCTTCCCTCAGGAACTGGAGGTTATGTGGTATACAGTGATGCTTCGCATCAAGGGTTAGGATGTGTTCTCATGCAACATGGTAAATTAATTGCTTATGCTTCCAGGCAATTACGACCGTATGAGAATCTTATCCGACTCATGATTTAGAACTGGCGGCTGTGGTATTTGCCTTAAAGATTTGGCGTCATTATTTGTATGGTGAGACTTTTCAGATCTTTACTGATCATAAGAGTCTCAAGTACTTGATGGAGCAAAAAAGAGCTAAATCTTAGGCAAAGGAGGTGGTTAGAGTTGTTGAAAGATTACGACTGTACCATCGAATACCATCCAGGCAAAGCAAATGTTGTGGCAGATGCTTTGAGTCGAAAGACCACGCATCGTACTAAAAATGAGGAGACTGGTTTAATGGCAAATTTGATTGCTTTGAGAGCTATGATTGTTGGATTGGAAATGAATTCCGCAGGAGGGTTATTGGCCACTTTACAAGTGCGACCAATTTTGAGGGAAAGAATTATTAAAGTTCAGGATCAAGACCCTGAATTGAGGAAGATTATTGATAAGAGTCGTAAAGAGGAAGAAACTAAATTCACACTTCAAGATGGCGTTCTGACACTAAACGAAAGACTTTGTGTTCCAAATGTGGATGAATTGCGAAGGGAGATTTTGGAAGAAGCTCATTCCTCTCCTTATGCAATGCATCCCGGAACGACAAAAATGTACCGTTCGTTGAGATCTCATTATTGATGGCCAAGGATGAAGAAAGAAGTGGTTGAACATGTCTTGACGTGTCTGGTATGTGAGAAAGTGAAAGCTGAACATCAAGCCCCAGCGGGAAAAATTGCAACCACTGTCCATTCCAGAATGGAAATGGGAAAAGATTACCATGGACTTTGTCTATGGTCTACCTAGGACTCAGAAGAAGAACGACGCCGTTTGGGTTATTGTGGACCGATTGACAAAGTCGGCTCACTTTATACCCATTAGATGGGGTTGTTCGCTAGAGTTACTGACAAAGAAGTATGTGGAGGAAATAGTGAGACTACATGGAGTACCAGTATCCATCGTCTCTGACAGAGATCCGAGGTTCACTTCTCGATTCTGGAAGAGTTTGCAAGAAGCACTAGGTACTCGTCTGAACTTTTCAACCGCTTTTCATCCCCAGACCGATGGTCAATCCGAGCGAACAATCCTCACTCTTGAGGAAATGTTGCGAGCTTGTGTACTGGATTTCCAAGGTTCTTGGGATGAACATTTGCCACTGATTGAATTTGCTTATAACAACCAGTACCATAGTGGTATTGGTATGGCTCCATACGAAGCTCTGTATGGAAGGAAATGCAGATCCCCAGTGTGCTGGGATGAGGAAGGGTTACGGCAATTGGAGGGACCTGAAATCGTTCAGATGACAGTGGATAAGATTAAAGTGATCAGAAGCCGATTGAAGGCCACACAAAACCGGCAAAAGAGCTATGCTGATATCCACCGAAGAGAGATGGAATTTCAGAGTGGAGAGAAAGTATTTTTGAAAGTGTCTCCTTGGAGAGGGGTTTTGAGATTCCAGAATAAGGGTAAGTTAAGTCCGAGGTATATCGGACCTTATGAGATTCTGGAAAAGATAGGTCCGGTAGCCTATCGACTTGCCTTACCACCAGAATTGTCTCAAGTTCATAATGTCTTCCATGTGAGTTTGCTTCGAAGATACCGATCGAATCCGTCACATGTACTGGAACCAGATGAGATTGAGGTCCAGAAAGATCTAAGTTATGTGGAGGAACCAAAAGAGATCGTGGACCGAAAGGTGAAACAACTTAGGAATCGAAGTATTCCTATGGTGAAAGTAATTTGGAAAAGTCACACTGGAGAAGAAGCCACGTGGGAGACGGAAGAAAGCATGAGAGCACAATACCGCTACTTGTTTCAAGGTAAAATTTCGGGACGAAATTTTATTTAGAGGGGAGGAAATGTAACATCCCTGCCCTCGTACTAGTATTACGTTATAATTACGTGGTTGTGATTGGGTTACAAAAATTAGTCTTTTGAACCAAAAAGAAAGTGAATAGTGGAAGTGCTAGACTTAATTGCAAGTGAAGGAAAGTTTAGTGCCAAATAGACAATTTGGAGGGATGGAGAATTCTAGATAAGGGAGATAAAAATCTGCCCATCCTCTTATCTCTCATTTCCTTCTCATCCCTTCCCCTCACTCTCTCCCACGTCTCTCTCTTGCTCTCTTCCTTTCACCTGGTTTCACCACCTCAAAAACCACCACCACCTTTCAGAAACAAAGAGTGAAAGCTAGAAAGAAAAGCATATCAAGGAGAGGAAGAGGAAGAAGAAGGAGGCAAAGGGGGTGCTGCCAATTTCCGTCCAGCAGCGAGACAGCCTGTGAGAAGGACGATTCCGGACAATCAAACCGTTGGATCGTCCTGAGATTTGTCGGTTGGGTTTCATACTTCTTTGGATACGATTTGACCGTTGGGATCATCGATATGATCTCTGGTTCATAGAGGAAAGTCGCTGGACAGAAGGGGTGCGATACTGTTTTTCTGTAGCAGGACAGCAGATTAGAGGTAAGATCCTGTGCGAATCCGTCGTTGGATCGTTCTAGAAATTTGGTATGAGGTTAGGTATAGGTGGTTCTTCGAATTGACCGTTCAGAATGTAGTTTTGATGTCGGAGTGGTCAGAAAAAATTGTTAGAAGAAGGAGAGTTGGTTTTAAAGTGAAAGAAAGTTGTTGACAGTTTTGAAATGTCAAGTTAAAATGATTTCTGGGATCAAAAGGCTGATCCAAATGGTCTGAAATTTGGATATGTTGTATCCCTATGAATCTAGTTTCAGTAGCAACGAGAATCAATGGATTTGGTTAAGTATCAAGGGAGAAATGATCAAAATGAGGAAGCATGGTAAAGTGTACAATCGTATGACTTCCCTTGTGGTCTTATTGACATGCATGAATATAACCATGATTATGATGATTGTATACGTGTCTTGGTGCTTGAATAACCTGGAAATCTTGTACATAAAGGTAAGGATCAAGCCGGGGGCTCATCCAAAGGCAAGGGCATAGCCGAGTGAAGACAAAGCTGTGAGTAGATTCTAATCTTAGATCTACTTCAACATAATCACAGTATCCGGGTCATGAAGTGGCCCGAATACATATCGGGGTCATGAAGAGGCTCCGGTATAATATGGGAATTTATGGGAAATGATATTGCTATGTGATCTGGCTTATTTGTGTTTATTCATTATCTGCATTTGGTATGAAGTTGGAAATGCATGAATTGTGAATGAGATATGGAAAGACATTCTGTTGATTTATTGTGCGGATTATGAGCAAGTATTCGAACTTGCGAACCCGTCTTGTCTGTTTAGATTTGGAGTAAGCCATTAGGCTTACTAATCCTGTTCTGCTTGAATAACTCGGAGTAAGCTCCTCAGCTTACATTCCATTCTGTTGTGACTGAGGGTACAAAAGCACTATGAATGCTTTTGAGCCTATAGTGTCTAAGTGCACTATTAATGAAAAGAGGTGAATACTTAAGAATAAGTAAAAAGGTTTTATGATACCTCGGTACAGTAGTGTGTCCTGTTTGTATCGATGTGGGTAAACCCCACGATACTCCTGTTTGAGCGCTCGTGCTTCGCACCGTGCCGATTGGGTGACGACCCACGGTACTCCTGTTCTGTTCAGTTAGCCGGGCTGGGGTAATCCCGTGGCGACTCCTGTTTTTGTATCGGTCCGGGTTGTGTCCCGCGATATTCCTGTTGGTGCGAGCACTCCTGTTCGTACCGGATGGGGTTTTGTCCCGCGGTACTCCAGTTAACTGATGGCTGTACATGGTTATCCTGCAGCCTTCCACTACTGTACAACCCGAGGAGTATATCATTTAGCAAATTTGAAAGTGAAATTGTATATGCAAAATGCCTCTATCTATCACACGTTGTATGTGTTTGACTGTGATGAGTTGTGAATATGGGAACTTGATTGATTCAGTAAAATGAAAAGTGTGATAAAACAATTTAAGTCTTGTTATGTGCTAGGGTGTTTCTGCCCAATACTGTTTTTGTATTGATGTCGACCCGAGCTTAGAATTTATTCACTGAGCGACGACTCATCCTTCGTCACCATTTTTCCTCAGATCAAGATCAGAAGTAAGGTCTGTACTGTAGATATCGGGACTCAAGCGTGAAGGGAAGCCATGAGGTGGGCGGAGGACTCCGAACTCCTTAAATGTTTTATGTTGTGTGGATTTTGTAATAAAGCGGACTTCCCCGGTTTCTGTTTTGACTCTGAAGGAAATGTATATTATGGTTTGAAGTTTAAAAAAAAATATATATATATATATGTAAAGCTCGGGCCCGAGAATGTTTAAACTCGATGTATTTTACTGTTTCGTTTTGTAATATAAAGTAAGGGTTTTACAATGTCAGCAATGCTGAATTCCCACTCATCCAATGTACAATCGACCCCCTGCTCTTTGAGAAACTCTGTCACATACTCAAAAATCACTTTCCCCACTGGTCCATGATCCTCCTTAGCCACTCGGGCATTGGGCTTTTGGCTGTCGAGTAGGAAAGTCTTCATATTCCTCATGTCAGCGACGTACACTCGGTAGTGATCATCTCGATACATTGGAAAGAAGATCTGAAACACAATACAGTTAGTGAGATAATCATTGACTAATATCCTAACAACCCAGATTAATATCTCAACAACCCAGAATAATATCCGATAAAGAAGAATAAAATATCCTATAAACTCAGACCAATATCAAGGAAAGTCAGAAAAATATCCAAACATTGAAGATACTTACGTAATCACATCTTTCCAAGTTTTCCCGTTTCAGCAATGGATTACTCTTGTGCATAGAAGTATGCGCCGAGACTCTCGCCTTGTCCATGGGTTGTTTTTTTATAGCATTAGCGACGGCATGTTGCTATTTAGAAGAGACAACAATATCAAATTAGACATTTTCAACATAAATAGGATCTAAGTAGTGAAGATAATACTTACTACATAGCTTCATGGAAGACAATTCTCTTCACCACCTCCTTACGTTCTTCTTGGTCATTTAGGAAGTGCATGTATACTAAAATTACTTGGCTATTCACCCAACTTTTACGCTTCAATGACAATATTTGGCAACGCCTAAGCTTACCCTTTGGAGTTTCCACGATATAGTCGTGACTGTAAAACACAAATGAAAAACCAGGTTAGTAGCCATGAAATTGGTCACTGTAAATATTTAAATCCAATCTTGGTCACTCAAATTAGTTAAATAGTTCAAGTTTGGTCACTCTCTGCTCATTTCCGTTAACTCTAGCTTACGTGGCAGTCAACTTTCATAGTTGACCGTTAAATATGTGACAGGGTAATTAAAACATTATTTTAAAAAATAAACTTTTATATTTTCCACCTCATTATTACATATATTAAAAAATTAAAAACCTAATTTTTTTCTACACACCCCAATACCCTACCCGACCCAACTTCACCACCACCAGAACACAACCTCCGACCCGACAGCGGCATTCCTTCCAGGTTTGGCGAGCTCCCCATCATCGCACTATCCGTATCGAACACCTGCTCCATCCGGTAAACCACCGACGACTCCAACCACTACGACAAAATCCCCCTGATCTTCTCGTCGTTGTGCCCCACCACCGCCTCGTGCAGCCGCCACGCCGCCCACCCCAAATCGTTCCCCAGCAGCTCCCCCACCGCGGCAGAGGTCCTCATCGGATTAATCGAGTTCTCGAAGTAGTCTGGATGCAGGGGAGGATTCATCCTTCCCCTGTTGTTGGTCACGAGACGACACTCGGTGATCTTCTCCAGAGGGAAATTTCGTGCGCGGGTTATGCCTCGTCAGACCAATGCGGATAGGGATTGGAATGACGACATCTTGGTGGTCCGGGATTGGTAGTTGGTTTTCAATTTGATTTTAGCAATCGATTCGGCCGAGAAGTGGAAGAAGCATTCGAGGAGCTCTATCAATTCGTAGCTTCGGTTGTCCAAGCTTATCACTCACCTTCTCCTGATTGTCAACCTTTTTCTCGGTCTGCTCTGTTTATTCTACGGATCTTCCTTCGCGCCCGGATTGGAACCGTAATCTCTCCGGCGCGACGACTCTGACCCAAACCTCGGTTCACTTTCGGGTCCCCAGGTCTTTGACGATGACTCCCTCCAGAATCTGGAACTACCCAAAACCATTACGGAGAGTTCGGCTCTACTTTTCTCGAATTGGGGGATTTGGATGTCGTTTAATGTTGGAGAGTGTTGGCATTTTTTATTGTATATATGTGATATGAAGTACTCCGAGCTCATACCTTGCTTGGATAGAGAGCTAATTTACCAGCTGAGGTTGAAGCTGAACTTGTCGTTGATGGAGCGCTCGAGGAGCTCTACCGATGGGGCGGCGTGGATCAATCGGGCTCCGGGACTGTTCACACAGTCGAGGGAGACGACGTAGGATCCGTCATCGTGTGGGGATTCGGAAGTGACGAGGCGGAAGGCGAGTGGGTAGAAGTGGGAGAGCGTGAGGGAGAGGGCATGGTTCAACCGGCGGAGAAATTCGACGATGTGGAAGCCGGGGGAGCGTTTTTGGTAGAGATGGCCCTTCTGGATGTAGTGGACGGAGAGCATGAGGAGGTCCCATGGAGGCAAGTTTATTGGGCGCTTCATTTCGTTGGCGGAAGGAATGCCGCTGTCAGGCCGGCGATTGTGTTCTGGTGGTGGTGAGGTTGGGTTGTGTCGGGTAGGGTATTGGGGTGTGTAAAAATGAAATTAGGTTTTTATTATGTTTAATGAATGTAATAATGAGGTGGAAAATATAAAATTTTGTTTTTTATTTTTAATAATTTTTTAATTGCCACGTTACATATTTAACGGTCAACTATAAAAGTTGACTGCCACGTAAGGTAGAGTTAACTAAAATGGACGGAGAGTGACCAAACTTGAACCATTTAACTAATTTGAGTGACCAAAATTGGATTTAAATATTCCCAATGACTAAACATGAACGTTTTTTGTAATCTTAGTGACCAACCATGCAATTAACTCATAAAAGTTTATTGATCAAATAGTTATTATTTTCATAGATAATTAAGTAAAATCTTCTAAAGATGCATTGATCGAAGGGGAAATGTATAAAATATGGGAGTGATAAACACAATACAGAGAGTGTTATTAGTCCTACCGAGCTCGTGATACAAGTATGCTAACATAACTGTACCACCTTGCATACTCTCCTACACGTGCCTAATCATGGAGAAGTAGAACATGCATAAGATGCATCTTAGCTCCAGATTGATAAGGAAACATAACTACTCCTAAAAGTAGCATGGCATATGCTCACGCATGCTGACTCGGTGTCTGATCTAAAGCTCCCTCTTGCAAGGTGGAGAACACATCTATAAGCCAAGAGTACTTCACAGTTCACACGTCCATTCGTAAGATCTAATCGTTCCTATGTAGAATGAAGGTTCCCAAGTAGGTTATTTATAACTCATCCTATGATGAGTTTGGTATATTTAGGATCATAGTATGCTCGTCGACTGATAGTCATGCAAGAACTGCAACATCCTCAGAGTAATACTACACTCGTCATAAAGAAGGTGAAAAGTAGAAGTTTGTGACCGTCAGTGCTCCACTACTATTGTGATAAAGTCAGAATCACCATATAGCGAGACAAGTTCATTAACAATATACAAACAAGTGTCATAAACCAGTTGATTCCAATAACTCGAGTTGTTGGGAGAAGGTTATTATGGATCTTCTACCATACTCTTACACGCCCCCTCAAACGAAAGCCAACTCACAGGGTTGAAGTTTGCACAGGCCCACCATACCTTGTGCTTTAATTTACTGTTAATATTGGGAGTCGTGGAGATTCAAACACACGACCACTGGGCAAAACCAGCTCTGATACCATGTCATAAATCAGTTGATCCCAATAACTCGAATTGTTGGGAGAAGGTTATTATGAATCTTATACCATACTCTTACTACCAGCACCCTGAATGTATGATCCATACTCCTCATAATACTTGCCTAATATAGGCGTACCTCGAGTCTTATATATATGGACGAACCAAAGCCTATGCGTCATCATGTAACTAATAAATGAATAAGTCACTAACAAATTACTTATATAGATAAGATAACTGAATTAAAGTATATAGTTATAAACTTACAAATAAAAATAACATATTAGTTAATTCATAATTATATAAATAACTTAATTAAAGTATATAAATAATAAACTTAACTGTAATAAACATAGCTGTATTCATACTAACTCAAGAGGATTATAATTCAATCTATTCCTAGTCACTAATAAAATACTATACTAATTCATACTAACTCAAACTAAATTAAATAACTTTTAATTTGTAAATTAAAGTATTATCTCATTCTACCAAACTAAATCAACTCGATGTTCACCATCTCCCCATAATAATTTGTTTTCAATTGGGGCTTGATTTATTTTAGCATTCTTGATGTCCATTAATATTAAATATTGATCATACATCGTAGGAGTAAAAAAATAAAACACAGCAATAATAATAATAATAATAATAATAATAATAATAATAATAATAATAATGCTAAAATAGAAGAAAAAGTCAACCCCTTGCTGCTAAGGAGCGAAGCCTCGTCGTCAGAAAAGGTGAGACTCGTTGGGAATATCATTTTTCCGGTTTTTTCTGGCCATTTTCGGTGGTGGGAGGAGAGTTTTGGAGAAGGTTGGAGGAAGAAGACAATAGTTCTCGTCTAGAGTAGGATTGGGAAAATATACCAGACTGTTAGAAAAATAATGGTCTAAAGTTCAGACCGGAACGTATAGTTTGGTCCGGATCGTGTAATATTTGATGTTTTAATTTCTTGGTCTGGTCTGGTCTAGATCGCGGTTTACCGGACCAAACCGTGGACCCAAACGACTTTTTCAACACGGTGTTAACATTCGACCACTCTCCCAACTCTCACAATGACATCCAAGTCTCAACCTTAATTTTGAGAATCTCGTACCCTCCTTCATTCACAACCACATTTCACTAGAGAGTAGAGATAATCGTGTCTCTATGTAAAATTATGTTAATGTTTGTGATGTTATGGTGCACGTTGGGATGCTTTTAATTTGTATCTTTGTTATGTACTAAGATTTAGGGTGTCCAAATTATTCATGCATGTTAGAATTAATATTTTAATACAGAAAAATATTGTTTTCCTTAGTTATTGGTTCAACTTTTTGTGTGGTTGACTAAATAAAGTATTCATTTTTCGTTGAGTGTGGTCTATATAGACCAGACCGTACCAAACCAGACCGTACAGGCGTGATCTGGACCGAACTGTATAGTCTGTGGTTTGGTATATGATCTATACTCCAGCCTCTCGGTCTAGACCATAAATCGTATATATGGTCTGATCTGGATTAGTCTTTTACAATAGTAGATGGAGAAGAATATTTTTCACAACGGTAGTTTAGATGATATTTATTCTAAAATACAGTATGTACAGGGGAAAATCCGGGAATATGTTTATTTTCCAATTATAAACTGATAGATGGCCGGCCCACGCTAAGATAAGTGACCGAGTACCTAAAATGGGTTGTTGTAGTCATCATTTATGGGCCGCGCTTCAAGTTTGCCCTGACCCGTTATCATCAGACGGACGTAGCTTTGTCCAGCGAAGTGATCGTGACGGACGACCCAAGCGGCAACGGCTCAATCTCGACCGTCAAACCATCATACCTCAGGAACAGCTCCACCAACAGTACCCTGGACATCAGCACCACGAGATCCTTCGCCGGGCACTGCTTGTTCTCAGCCGTCGGATCATCCGTCTCCCGACCGTTAGACCAGTACACATCCCTCAACAACATCTTCTTCTCCCCTCGTCCCCCGACGAACCGATCCCCGACAAACTCCTCGGGACGATCGAACACCGTCGGATCTCTCGTGGCGAACGGCTGATATCCAAACAACATCTCCCCCTTCTTGACCTCGTAGGCGGCGTCGTGGCTGCGGACCACCATATCCTCCCTGGCCCTCCCGTACTGGAACGGGATCGGCGGCTCGATCCTCAGCGCTTCGTAGACCACCGACTTGGTCAAAGTCATCGCATCCAACGCTCCGAGAGTGACCTCCCCGCCGTGGCCGAGGACGACGGCTCTGATCTCGCCAGCCAGCTGGCGGTGCAGTTTGTGTCCTGCACTGGCGACCCACTTGATCAGGGATGGGAAGAACGGCTTGAAGCCGCCGTAGGCGTTGAAGCCGGCTATGAATACGAGGTTGTGGCAGGCTTCGGCTCTTGGGATCCCGAAGCTGGACTCGGCTCGGTCGAGAAACGTTTCGGCGTGTTTGTTAAACGCAGCGTAGAGCTTGGAGTAGTCGGATTTGACGAGGGAGAAGGGGAAGGGAAATGTGTGGAGGAAAAAGTCTTCGATGAAGCTGAGGGACTTGGGGAGAAGGCGTGGGGCTGTGATTGGGATGACCTGGAGGGCGTTCCACTTGTCGACGTGGGCCGGCCCACGGGTTCCGATCGCCGTCTCAAATGGATCCTAGAAGTAGAACATATTGTTAGCCAAATCAAAAGTTAACAACATGCCATTATTTATTAATTTATAATAAGAAGAAGAAGAGAATGATATGACGTATTATTATTGCATGACGGCGGGAGATGATGTTGAGTAGTGGATGATAAAATAATTATATCGTCCACCAACTTTCTACCCATCTTATGTTGGATTGAGGTTCTACTATAAATTGAATACGTATTATAATGTTAAAATTACGAGTTCAGTTTATACTATAAGAGTTTTCATACAAAGTGATTTTGGTATGTTTTGAATTTGTATTATAATGTCAAAAGTATAAGTTCAGTTTGTAATATAAAGAAAATTGAAAATTATAAAAATGTTTTTCTCGTTGAACAACTTTGTAAAATTTGTCTTGTATTATATGTGTATTTTGAATATATGTATCTGATTTAAAAGCGTTAAGTAATTTCCTAATCCAAACCACACTATGATCTATATACTTCATAAATTGATTAGCATTACTAAATCATACTTTTACTCATAAGCAAATAATCAATATCTTCTAGGAAAAAGTCAGCAAGACACAACTGATCACGTAATGTTGTGCAAACTTATCTGACCCACCCAAATAAATCAACAGGGCAATTTTGAGAAAATAACTAATGGTTAGATAGCGGCGAAGGCATTTGTATTGACGGCATAATTAAAATTTGAAGCCCTAGTTTTCAGAAATATCCAACGTTGCTTTATATATATTTAACACCGTGGTGGTCTCAGAATTTTTTCATATGGGTGTTCTCTATTAAAAAATAAATAAATAAAAAGAAAAATTAAACAACTCTTAACTAAAAAAAATATCTAACTCATACAAATTAGAAAAAGTCCACGATGTATTTTCATATTCAGATTGTAGAATACACTTGGTGACTACATTGCTCAAAACAAAATTGTCTATGTATATCCTACTAGACAACCATTTATGAACTAATAACATATTCGATTTCTAAACTTGTTTTTTTTTAAAAAACCAAAGCTGAAAAGACTCATTCAACACTTGTTGTACAACCAAAAAATCAATATAAATTAAGGGTAGCTCGAAATTAGTTTAATTGTAAAGTTTTGAAAATAGTTAGAGATAGAGAATGACATTTACTATTTCACAATG